ACATTATCCTCATGTGTAAAGTTCTCGTAGGTAACATTGTACGCACACCAATACATTATCCTCATGTGTAAAGTTCTCGTAGGTAACATTGTACGCACACCAATGCATTATCCTCATGTGTAAAGTTCTCGTAGGTAACATTGTACGCACACCAATGCATTATCCTCATCTGTTAAGTTCTCGTAGATAACATTGTACGCACACCAATACATTATCCTCATGTGTTTATTAATCATTTTGGAACAATGAATTTTGCAAATAAACGACTCTTGTCCGTGTGTGTAACTTAAGATATTACGTATGTTTCCGTGTGTGTAACTTAAGATACTACGTAGGTTTCCGTGTGTGTAACTTAAGATACTACGTAGGTTTCCGTGTGTGTAACTTAAGATACTACGTAGGTTTCCGTGTGTGTAACTTAAGATACTACGTAGGTTTCCGTGTGTGTAACTTAAGATACTACGTAGGTTTCCGTGTAATTGTTTTTGTAACAACTTTCAACCGTTACTTTGAATTGTGAAACATGAAACAGCCAAAACAGTCGAATATTCACAAAATCCAAGACAAACATGATTTTTCAGCAAATTTTTTATTCACCGGCTTACACTTGCTACAGTAGCATGCATATAAAAGCAAAATATCATGAAGTAACAATAAGTCAACTAAATATATATATATACTGCTTGAAAATTTGACTCACTGTTGGCTAGTGCTTCGTTTATGAGCTTTACTTTTGCTCCATTTGGCATATCTTAAGCCAGGTGGCTTTCTATATAGCTTAGAAAGACCACTTAGCCAACAATAAGTTAAAAGTTATCCTAGTGTGATGAACCAGAAATAAGCTCTTGCCACAACCAGCACAACAATACAGATATAATACTTGCCACAACCAGCACAACAATACAGATATAATATGGCATTTCAAACAAAATATAAAATTTATGCAATATAAATATGTCAAAGGAAATTTACAAATATGTTTACAAGCAACATCAATCATTCTTAACGATTATTTTGAACATACAGTAAAGGATTAAACTTTCTAAGTTGGTTCAAGTAACAACCACAAAACAATATCACGGTAATATATTTTTACAATGCTACAAAGCTTGAAAATTCATTTTCTCAGCGTAATATTTATATACATATAAAAGCAGCGATGTTTACGTAAAACTTATCATTTACTAACGAGTTAATGTCGAAGACAAATCGGTAGCTCGCCTGATATATGCCAACAAATGATGATTAATTTACCGGTACACAGTAGTTAGCAATACTTAAATTGTTCCTGTTTGTTTTGTTGACAAATACAGAATTATTGTCCTTTATAATTACTATTTTTTTAGTTCCGAAATGATCTGCAGAATTATAGGAGACAGGAGATGTAGTATCATTGTGTGTATGTGTACAGAATTATAGGAGACAGGAGACGTAGTATCATTGTGTGTATGTGTGCAGAATTATAGGAGACAGGAGACGTAGTATCATTGTGTGTATGTGTACAGAATTATAGGAGACATGAGATGTAGTGTCATTGTGTGTATGTGTACAGAATTATAGGAGACAGGAGATGTAGTATCATTGTGTGTGTATGTACAGAATTATAGGAGACAGGAGACGTAGTATCATTGTGTGTATGTGTACAGAATTATAGGAGACAGGAGACGTAGTATCATTGTGTGTATGTGTACAGAATTATAGGAGACACGAGATGTAGTATCATTGTGTGTATCAAACTAACTCAAACATTTGTAAACAGGCTGAACAAAATATAACAAGTTGGGAGCGCGTAAACGGGAAGCGTTCGTTAAACCGTATTATATAACAAGTGCCAAATTAGATTTCGTTAGAACAATCCTTTGATTTATATAAAATAACATTATTTTCACGTGACGATATTATACTATTTCTTCAGGAGTTTATTTCGATATTCAGTTTCCACCGATATCGATTTAAAACAGATGAAGCTCCCATAATTCCTGATGAGGCAAGCTAACTATGTAGATCAGTAATAACTTGATAAATTATGTAGATAATTTCATATAGTATCTTGCTTTGAGAAGTTGTTGCTTTAGTTTAGAAAATGCATAAAAGTTACAAATCAAAATCACAACAATTAAGTAAACGTTCCGCCGCAGTAAAATTTACAAAACCCAAAACGACCAAAGTCCTTTCTCTACCTCTTAACAAAAAATACAAGTAAATTAAAAATAAAAAACATTTATTGTACCTCTACATTACGTTTTCAACATGTAAAAAATTACTGGAAGAAATATATTTTAATGGGTAAAAATGTTGGACAGATAATGGCCATGGCCAGCACAAATTACTTTATGGTTGTTAAGATATAAGTCAAAATGTTGGACAGATAATGGCTAGCACAAATCACTTTATGGTTGATAAGATATAAGTCAAAATGTTGGACAGATAATGGCCAACACGAATTACTTTATGGTTGTTAATATATAAGTCAAAATGTTGGACAGATAATGGCCATGGCCAGCACAAATTACTTATGGTTGTTAAGATATAAGTCAAAATGTTGGACAGATAATGGCCATGGCCAGCACAAATTACTTATGGTTGTTAAGATATAAGTCAAAATGTTGGACAGATAATGGCCAGCACGAATTACTTTATGGTTCTTGAGTCACGTTCCACATTTATTTTATAGAAAATGCTGTTGTCCTCGCTCCTATCGGTTAATCACATAACTGCTGCACAACTAAAATAATTTCCAGTTAATGATCCAGGTGTCACTTTGCAAATGTTTGGGCTTAAATATTGTTCCAACGTGAAGTCTGTTTGTTTCGGATTCTCGCGCAAAGCTTCACGAGGACTATCTGGCCTAGCCGTCCATAATTTTGCACTTACAGACTAGGAAGAAAGACAGCTAGTTAATAGAATCCACCGCCAACTCTTGAGCTATTCTAATCGAATAGTTGGACTTGACTCTCACTCTTATAACGTGGTTACGGTCCAAAAGTGTGAAGAACGATTTTACTACAACGAGACGCCAACCATGAACCCTCGGATTCATAGACCGCCACTAGGCCTCCAATGTGAAGAGAATCTATGTGCGTTTAACTCACAATCACGAAACGGTGTGATCATAATGCAACACAGCAGTGTTTACAAACACTAGAATAACAAATATATGTATACACCACAACCCACGTAGTTGCTTAAAACCTACGAGTGTAACATTGGTAAACTTGCTCGATATACCAAACCATCATTCACTATTAAAGCTACATTACTAACATATCACATTACTACAACAAAGCTCACGTGATCACAAAAAAAGCAGCTTCTAGTGAACATTCAGCTAGTTGCTTAAAACCTACGAGTGTAACATTGGTAAACTTGCTCGATATACCAAACCATCATTCGCCATTAAAGCTACATTACTAACATATCACATTACTACAACAAAGCTCACGTGATCACAAAAAAGCAACTTCTAGTGAACATTCAGCCTGTTCACGAAAAACAACTGATTCAAATAAAATAACATCAGTTAACGAAGTACGGGGTTAAAATAAAACAAATTACTGGTAAGGCTGCTTTACTAGCTACGATTCATGTTCTACAACTCTGTACACAGTTCACTGTGGATTGTGTATTAGCTCTTCACCCCGAATCAACATTTTTCGTGTTTACTTGTGAGGTAAGAATCACATGTAAACGATTATCGATTTCTTCCCACAGCTTAAGTTGTGACTACAACACAAAACATTATGTATTAAGTCGCTTCTAAACTTTTCAATCTTTACACAGTCAACACTATGTACTAAGTCGCTTCTAAACTTTTCAACCTCTACACATTCAACACCATGTACTAAGTCGCTTCTAAACTTTTCAACCTCTACACAGTCAACATTATGTACTAAGTCGCTTCTAAACTTTTCAACCTCTACACATTCAACACCATGTGCTAAGTCGCTTCTAAACTTTTCAACCGCTACACAGTCAACACTATGTACTAAGTCGCTTCTAAACTTTTCAACCGCTACACAGTCAACACTATGTACTAAGTCGCCTCTA